TCTGCAACTCTACATGACAGAGCCACGCAGAATATTTCCAGTGATTGCTTCTTGCAATTACACGATATGTCTACCATGAAGTGTTTAGGAGGAGACAAACTTCAGAAGTACTATTTTGTTCCTACTTCTATATATCCGCAGATTATTAAACTAATGACTATCATAACGTGTATGCAATAACAACAAGATGCAAGTCAAAGCCCTAAAGCCTCTTTAGATCAGATTAGATTAAATTTGCACTGGGATTTAAACAGAGAACAGTTGGCTGTGAATCTCTCTTCTCTGTTTATTAAAGTTGATGGTCCTATTCTAACACCACTGGAAAAATATTTTCCCTTTCTTTCTCCCCTTTGGCCAAATTTATAATAACATCAGACACTTTGTGATCTTGAAATGACAACTTTCCATGCAGGCAACACAAAGGAAAAACATTTACCAGATAACACTGTGTTCTGTGGATATCAATGATCACCAAAAGCTATCATTGAAAATAGAAAACTTTTCTGACAATTTATCCACCTGAGCTTTTAAATACATTTCTGCATCATCTCTTCAATGCATAGGCTTGTTGAGTATTAGACAGACTCCATGTGGCGGTGGCAGGGGAAAAGCTAGGCCTGATGAACCTCCAGGGTGTAAACTCTTGTATATATAATAACGAGAATAAGTTTGCAGCGGCATTTCATTTTTGTCATTTGTGACAGCAAACACGTGAAAGTGCTCCTGTCTGTTTTGCCAGTGTGCTCCTGTGTGTCTTCAGTCTCTTAACACAGTCACTTTTCTTACCCTTTAACTGCACACACTCCATTTCGGGTTGCAGGTGGATGCTGCATCGAAGAATCAAATGTATTTCTCTTACTGTTAGCAACATTTATGGGGGAATTTTAGAAGTGCTGTGTGTTGGTTAACTTCCCTCTCACGGATCTCAGTGACAGAAGAATGAGGCCAAAATGAGTCCTTTGTAAAATTCCTGATCGAATTTAGTATACATATGCATTGGTTCTCCATGTGAGCACTAACTCGTAAAGTTAGGTGTTAAACAGCAGAATAAAATATTAAAACAGATTTCAAATATATCTCTATAAAAACAGTAGGTAAATGGATTCTGAGAAAGTTTGAAATGATTCTCTCTCCACTATTTTAAGTTTTTTTTCCTGGATATTTATTAGAAATCAAATACATATGTAGGATATGCAAAAATAGAACCAGGGGGAAAAAAAATAATGTTCCTTCATGTATTCTGAGTATCAGCCCATGATTTCTGCCATTTTGTTTGATTACTGAGATGGAAAACATTTGCTGCCCAGTCTCCTCAGAGGGGCTGTGTGTGGTAAGCTTGCTTTAACAGGCTCCTGAACTGCAATGTAGGGCTTGTGACTGGCCTAATGATTCATTCCTGAAAAACATTACTTTCATCAATTTTGGATTTGGTTTCCTTGGTGGTTTTCACAAGGGGCTTGGCTTTGCACGCCGGTGGAGACAGTGTCTCTCGTAATTAAATTGTATTTTTTAAAGACAGAAGGGGTTTACTTTACACCTGATGGCCTTGCTCCAGAGGGCTAGAAAAAAGCAGTTTCTTCCTTTAGTTCCTAAAGGTTGGTGGTGTTTTTTTTCCTCTCGCTCTCCTTTAGTAAGGGCCCTGCCTATGCAGGTCTTCACTTACTGGTTTAGAACAGTTTTTTCCAGCGAGGAGCTTATTAGCAACAGCTCCACAATGGGTTTTGTTTCCTTTGAACAGCAGGTCACCCTTGTAGGCATGGCTTTTGTGTTATCAAATCAATTTAAAATATTCAGGTGGGTCTACATACCAAGTTTCAGAGAGACAACTACTCCAGTATAAGCTAGCAAGTCACTTCTTGAAGCTGTTAGAGCTACTCAGCAAGTACGATTTCCCTAACCAATAGATTCGTAGGTATTTTATTTTTCTCTCTCTTTTTTAGAAACTAAACTGTGAACTTCAGGAGGCTGTCTAGTTTGGACTGTACCTAAAAATAAATCTGTAGTCACCGTGGCCTCCATTAAGAGCAACTATCAAATACTTCATTACCAACAGTATCAGCTGTGGTGCTGGAAAGGACCTCACAAGGTAGCATTGCTTGACTCAAAACAATTCCTCTCCAGTGCTCTTCTAGTGCAGGTTATCATGTACACGGCCACAAGAATTAACTTAAGAATCCCCGGTCCTGGAACATTTACTTACTTGGTGATAACAATGCATATACCACCAGCAACGCTTCCCCATATTGTTGTTCTGAAATCAGAATTGTGTCAGGCACCCAAAAAATATTAAAAAAAAAAAGAAAGAAACCCCCACATTTTAATTGAATAATGGCTTTGCCACTTTATCTAAATTCATCATAGCTTTGGGAACTAATATTCCATGTATCTTCATGTTTGGGTCTTTCTAACTGCAAGTATTAATGTTCTGTTTCATCTAGTACCTTGGTAGTACTGTTCTGCACAAACACGTCTTCTTATAACAAAGACTGAGAGCAAAGATGTATAAATAATACTTATAACACTCAAAATCTTACAAAAAACAAATTCAAAAAATGATTCCGAAATATTCTGAAAGCATTAACCGAAGTTTTATGTCACCTCTACCAGATAACATTATCCATATTCTAAAACAGGGGTATTCTGAAGCCAAGTCTCTCACTTTAATATAGAAAGTCTACTCAATAATATACCCCAAATGTACATATTCCTAATTCTCTACTTTATTCACAGGGCAACACTTTGGTCACTCATCTGTTTAGCCATAATCTTCATTTTGATGCCATTGCTGGCCCTCCTCTGATCTTCCCAATAGGCAATGTTCCCACTTCAGAGTGATCTCATCTCAACAGTTGTCTCAGTAAACGCATCATGAAACGCACTGCTACAGCTTCCCTTTTCTAGCTCCTCAAACAAGCAACAGGCCCAAAAAGCTCACCACCACACCGGCTCTCCTCAGGGCAAGCTAATACGCGCACTTTCGGTAACCTTGCACTTCACCACCTCTTACGTTCCTTTATTCAAGTAACAGGAGGCTGCCTGGCCTCCTTGCCTCTGCCCTGCAGGACCTGGGTGCAATCGCAATAGTTTCCATTCATTGTCAATTAGCTGAGGTCCCCGGAATTGTAAAGAGGACAAATTAACCTCACTGTCTACAGTATGTTATAAACACAATATACTATTTTCACTTGCTGCATACTTCAGGAAGGAAAGTACCTGCTTTATTCTGTCCCAGTGACCTAAGCAGAGCAGAAGAATTGTCGAGAACCTAGAAATAGGATGCTTTCAACTAGGCTATATCATTACGGAAAACACATTTTACCTCAGTCTCTTAAAACCTAACAGACAAACAGTGAAATGAGATGAGTATCACCAGCGATGACGTTTTACTTCTCTTTTACTACACAAATAGCGTAAAGACTGAATTCACGGGACTGATTTTGCAGGAAACGATTAACTGGAATTATAGCTTCAGACTAGAATGTGTATTATTCCAGATTTTTTTTTTAAAGCAATATAAAAGGACTTGCAACTTAGAAAAACCCAATCAATCAAAGCAGATGAAAACCTTTGACCTTTATCTAATCATCTGCAAGTGAAGTTCAAGAGTTAGCTGTTTTGAACAGTATTAGGTAACAGAAAAAAATTCTTAAAACTCCCTCACAGAGTGCATACACATACAGCAACATTTGCATCAAATATAACCAACAGGAATTTTTAGGTGTGTCAGAAGTTGACACATGGACACTTGATTTGTATAGAGTGCTTGTGTACGTAAGCAGGAAGATGAACACACTCCAGCAGAAGCCAAAGCCTGGGCTCCATTTCCCTCCCCCAGTTTGCCTTTCCCTTTTTTTGCCTCGCTTCCTTGCCTGAAGGCAAAGTCTCTACAATTTCACATTACTAACTATCAGGACCAGATAGAGAACTTGAGTACTTGAGGTCAGGCATTGTGATTTGGAGAGTCTGAAATTAAGTTTAGATATAGCCAAGATGATAGGCATGAAATTTGAAAAGACTTTTGTACAACCAAGTTTTGACCTTGAACAAGGAAGACCATTACCTCAGTCTAAGTAAATAAACGTGAAAGAAATGAATCGCTAGAGTCCCTAGTCAGGCAAAATTAGATTCCAGTGTAAGTTTTACCTAAAAATATGACATTGTTTCAGCACAACAGAAGTTACCTTGTTCATAGCAATAATAACATTCTGCTTAAAAAGAACCACAGCAACCCACAAAATAGGAAAATCAGCTTGAAATCACATATTATAAAGTCACATGCATTCAAATTCTGAGAGAATTTGTTGAAATTACAATACTTATTATGATTAATATTTTCACTGAGGCATAACAGCAACCAATGCAAGGAAAAAAAAGGCATAAAGCATTCTTGGTAAGATTAACCATCTCACCAGTCACTAACGCCTAGCCCTTTAATTTTCCTCATACTTAAATAAGGATATTCTACAAGTGCACTCGAGTGACCACTCAGTCGCTCGGGGCAGAGGGAGGAGGGATGCTCTTGCACAATTCTTTGGCAGGAGGAAACAGCTCAAAACTTCTCCATTTCCACTATTCCAAACCCCTTCTGATTCCCACCTTCTTAGACCACGTGGTGGAAAAGTGGCATCATCGAATCTCACCCAGAGACCAGAGTAGACCTTGGAACTGGTCGTCTTAAGACATATTTTTTGAAACTCTACCATTATTAAGACTTGGAAAGAGATTTCAAGCCAAGCCAAGTCATGGAATGATGAAGTCCCAGGCCAGGAGCCCAGCTGCAGGGGCAGGAGGGATTCTGCACCACCAGGAACTAAAAGCGCTTCAGAAAATGCCACCAGTTGAGCAAGGAAAGAGCATGAAAGTTTGAGAGCAGGTTGGAAAAAATCTGGATAGTAACTTTACTAGCAATTACTTTCTTCATTTGTACACATACAGTTTGACACAAAAAAAAAAAAAAAAAAAAAAAGAAACAAGAAATTCAGACTCCTCTTTAAGAATCCTTGGATTTAAATATATATATATTTATTAAAAAGAGACATTGACTCTATGGCCAAGACATCATGCGTCTCAGAACAGGTTTTTACAGCCATGTTATAAAAACCCCTTAGCAAAGCAGTTATGCACTAGACTTCAAACACATGTACTCCAAGAATGACACTGGTGTGGAGGATCTTGTTTTACATCCATTTATTTTTGTCCCTCAGCAATTATAGCATAGTTTCAATACATTTCTAAAGCTATAGAGAAATACCAGGGCAACTAGAGTACATACAAGCCAAAGTTAAAATGGTAGACAGCTGAATTAAAAAAAAAAAAGAAAAAAGAAAAAGAAAAACAAAAACAAGTATGCATTCAGACTGGAAGGTAAGGAAAGGAACCCACCTACAGCAGGAAATCTACTATACTTCATTCAGTTTAGGCTTTGTTCTTTAGGGAACAAGGTGCTAACGTGCCATTTTCTCATAAAATGAATCATAATTGCTTCCAAAGCGTTTCTGCTGAAAATTTAGGTGGAAGCAAATAAGTGTAACACTAAACTTTCTCCTATAAACTTAGAAGCAACACTTTCTTGAATCAATTTCCACCCTCCAAATACCACTGCTGCTTTTCTTGCATGAACCCACTGTTTTATTAAGGCATAATATGCCCTGAGCAATATGCTGGAAATTAGCCAAAAAGCCTAACAATTAAAGGCAAGCACCAAGTGATTATTTTTATAGACAAATTTTGAAATCCGTTTCGTAACTCACCTGTACTTGGGAGTAGCACTTGAGGAAAAAAAGAAAATATTGCTTTTAATTACTTCGAGCAGAATGGCAGTGTTCATTCCCCTTTTCTCCCTCCAGGCTAAAGTTTTCAAGCCAATTGTCTAGGTACCCAAGTAGGACCAGCATACCAAGATGCAAGTGGGACATCTGTTCAAGAGTTTAATTTTTAAGCAACTGGGTGTAAAAATTTCAGTGCCCCACCCTAAGCAATTCAAATTAAATCTTATTTTCCTCAAGAGGCAAGACTCTCATAGGCTGGATACCTCTGGTCTTAAAAGCAAGATGGAGCCTGGACAGGAGAATCGTACTGTACATGCTCAGACTGCCTTCCAGTCTTCGTTTTAGAGCCAGAAAAGTGTATAATTACCCGGTGCACTGTCCAATTTCTCTAAAAAAAATGCACAGTATTACAGAGTCCAGGATCTAGTAAGGTAGTTTTCAAAGCTAGTGCTAACAGCGCACATGACTTTCTCTACACAAATTTAGGCAATACTGGCTAGTCCCTTTAAGCCACCAGAGTATCCATAAAAGAAAGACAACCAAATTATACATTTTATTCACATTTATTTTTCGCTTTTAGTGTGCTCACAGAAAATTAGAACACCTTAAGCAGGAGTTTAATAGCAATTTTTGTAAGCAAAGTTACATTCCATCTCTAAGTCAAATTGGTCAAAGCTTCTCCAGTATTTACAAAAACATGATAGACAAGATGCTACACAAAAAAAAACCATTGCATCTGAAGAGTTTTCCTTTATTTTCAAAGACAACTGGAAAAGAAAGCATTGTCTGCTGTAATCAAAAACATACCACAGTATAAACAGTAACCATTCCACTTATCACAGCTTGGTTGAGTTTAAAATTTGTGTTTAAAAGGTCCAAGATGACTGCAGTTTTACAAAAATGGGCAGGGTGGAAAGAGTTGCAAACTTCATGTGCTTCTGGATATCAGGATTTGTTTTTTTTTATACAATAGTCACAGTTAAAAACACCCTGCTGGTAATACATAATTACACTTTATTAAGGTCATAAACCAGCAATAAACAATAAAGCCTATACAACTTGTATTTCTACTTAATCACTGACTGATACAGCTAACATGAGATAAGTGAAAAGTTCCTATGGTTTAAATGAATTCCTAAGACTATGATCTCTTTATCTGGGTATTGACTTTTTATTTTTATTTTTTTTTCCTTTTTCCTTTCCTTCTTAATCAAGACTTGTAGTGTTGTAAACCTTATAGAACATCTGCCTCACAAAATACATCGTAATAACTTTCTTTTAAAAAAAAGACTAACCCCTTACATCATTTCTGGCGGGGCGCGCTCCCGGCAAGGGCTGCGCACCCCGGGTTCCCCACTGCGGCCCCTGTCACTTCATTTGATATCCCTTATTGACCCACCCATCTCCTTCATATATGGGTATGTCCATAGACCGATCGGGAAAAGTTTTATAATATGAGAGAGTTGCAAAGTATGGAAAAAAAAAATCAAAACAAAAAAACCCCAAAAAAACCCGAACCAACCAAAAGAAAACATTAATACTGATGAAAAAAAACAAACAAACAAAAAAAAACAAAACAAAAAACCAAAAAAATCAACCCCAAAATATAGAGGGTAGGAGAGAAGGGCGGAGGGGGGCCCCCCTCCGCCCGTTGGAATGGCGGCAACACACAACGATTTGAGATGGGAGCTGCGGGGGGGAGAGAAAAAAAAGAAACGAGACATCTTTTAAATCAATCCCTGGTTGTAGACAAGTTCTCCGAGACCAGTACCTGGCACCACTCCAACAAACAAACAGGGGGGAAGAAAAGTCCGTCGGCG